GTTGGCCAGCGGACAGAGTACAGCATGTGCGCCCAATAGCAAGTCGAGCCGAGAGCAACGCGCGGCGCAGAGGGCCATGATGGGTGCGCGAGGGCTAACAACGCCCACCAGAAGCCGACAAAGCGGAAGGCCGCATGTGCCCAGTGCGACGCCGTCTCGTGCCCGCGCGAGTCGAGCGCCATGCCGGCTCGGTACAGAGCGGCAACAGTGATAGGCAGCACGCACGCAGTGACAGCAGGGCGCACTGCGGGCGGTGGAGCGGCTACGCTAAAGACGCAGAGAGCGACAAACTCAAGCCGTGCCACCGCCTTGTCCGCCTTGAAGACGGAGAGGTCGCCAGTGTGCGCCAGCGTGCGCCAGGTGAGCGTCGATACGAGGCAGGCGGCGCACGTGACGGCGAGGAGCAGGGCGCCACCGAGGCCGAGCGCGCCAGCGTGGACGCCAAACACACCGTGCATGCACGGAACCGCCAGCCAGAGGCTCGAGCAGCCGAGGCTGTAGCGAGAGGCCTCGCGGTGGCCGGGTGATGCGTACTTGGCAGAGGCGGCGCGACACATCGGGCGATGCACAGGCCGGTGCCCAGGAGCACAGCGAGGAGCGTGCAGAGGTTACGCCGGGAGCACGGCTTCCCGCAACAGAAAGCAACAAAAAGAATTTTTGGACCAAAGAATCTCTGCCGGGAAGTGAAGACGAAGAGAGAGTGGACCTATAGGAAGAGGCGGACGCCCAAGGGTGGGCGACGGCTAGCGCACCACACCCCTCTCCTTAAAATCCCTGTGTGGTGGCGGCGTGCCGTTCTCCCATCCCTCCCTTGGGTTGTCTGTTTTCTTTCTTTCTTTTAGAGAGTGGACCTGAGCAACTATATGACTCCGTGGGGTGTCTGTCCCCTTATTTTTCTTTTTTTGGCGGCAAATGATCGCAGTGGGCGTCAGAGTCGTCCTTGCGCGAGGAGAGCTCGATAAACTCGGGGGGCCAAAATATGCCGCGAGGAGGGCAGAGCTGCGCTGAGGGAGGGTGTAGAGGATGTAGAGTGTAGAGCGCTGTAGAGCTGTAGAGATGTAGAGCGCTCTGGAGCGCTGTAGTGTGTAGAGCAATGTAGAGCTGTAGAGCTCTACATCCGCCGCGGGGCGAAGCGCCTGCGTTGTAGAGCGATGTAGAGGCGCTCTACAACGCGAAATCTCTACAACAAACTCTACATGATAAGCGGCGAACGAGGCACGGTCGCTCTCCGACATGAGGCGCGTTGCACTTGCCAGTGCTGCCCTGGCCTTCTGTCTGCCCGCCCAATGGGTAGGAGGTGCCTCTGCTGCTATGGCATGCCTCACGGCTGCGACTGGCCGGCGCCTCGGCGCGTCAGCTCGGCTCGGCGTAGCGATAGTGGCCAGCGCAACTCGCCTGGACTCAACGCTCAGCCAGGAGCTCCCGCACGCGCTGGCGGGCGCAACGGGCATCTTCTCTTCGGGAAACCAGTACACACTCGGCGATGCTATCTTCACTCTGGCTGATGGCGATCAGCTCCCCGCCGGTGGCCGGCTGCCACACACTACCTCGCCTACTTTGACGGCCAATGGCAGCTTCGCTCTGAGACTCCTTCCACCACTCTCTTCTACACTCGCTCTGAGGAGCTCTGCCCGACAGCTGTCGCCGTCGGGATGATTCGGAGAGCAGACGCAGACGTGGACTGTGAGGGCGTGAGATGCTTCGAGCGCTGCCTTTCGAGGTGCTCAGAAATAGCCGTGTGCCCTTCGCTGCCGTCCTCGCCGCCACCTTACCCTCCGGGCTTAGCGCCACTGCCGCCGCCGCCGCCGTCGCCTCTGCCGTTGCCGCCGCCGCCGCCGCCTCCGCCGTCGCATCCGCCCAGCCCCCCGCCCATACTACCACCGGTGCCCCCCCCGGTCAAGATCTCTTTCCCGCTCAATACCACGCTCGCTGACTTTTACGATCTGTGCGAGGAGGAGCAAGTGACCTTTATCGCAGACCTGGCCGAGGTTGGGGAGCGGGCTTGCCGCAAGATCGAGGTCGAGAGCAACCTCACCGCCGGTTCCTGTCGTGCAGAACTCGACTTTCCAGACGAGGCGTTTGAGGGGCCGCCCCCGCCTGCGCCGGCGTGCAACAGCAGCAATAGCTCCTCCCCCTCCGCATCCACGGGGAGGCGCCTTGCGTCGGCAGATGAGCCTCGCCTTCGCCTCACCTTATTCATAAGGGCACCCACAGCGGCCATACAGGAAGTTGGTGGGAGTTCTTGCCGCCGTTCGACGAGGTGATTCAAATTATTCAAGATGCGTCCAACTTCCTGGGCGTCGACGTCATAGTAGGCTACCCGTGCCCCGCATGTCGCGTTACCTTCCTACCCCTCCTGGCATGGCCTCCCCAGCCGCCGTCGCCGCCGCCCGCGGCCCCCTGCTCAGAAGGCGGCCCCTTTCCGTGTGACGAAGACGGGTGTCCGTCACCGTCTGTGACGTGCAGCTACCTCGCCCAGAATGACTTATGCCAAGTTCGATTTGACGAGCTCTACGACTCTAGTCCTGATACTGTGGAACCAAGCGCGCATGTTTACGAGGAATGCAAATGCAGCTGTGTACCGCCCGAGTCGTCACCGTTGCCGCCGCTGCCGCCATCGCCGTCGCTGCCGCCATCGCCGTCGCTTCAGCCCATCGACAAAGCAGACAACATCGTCGTGATAACGATCGTGTCGTGATACCGATAAGAAGCGGGACACGGTGGCGGCGGGCACGGGCCAGGCCGCAACGCAACACGGGAGGGGGCGACACAAGAGGGGCGACGGCAGCGGAGCGTGTGTTCAAGGCACCTCAAGTTGGAGAGGCTGTCGATCTGCGCATCCTCGCTCCACTAGGAGCGAACGAAAGCGTGGGTGGCAATCATGCTGTCACCTGACGAATGCGGTTGTTACTCTCATCCCCCACGTAGACAGTCCCGCCGTCGGGCGACACCGCCACGCCGACCGGGTAGTTGAAGCTCGCGGCGATGCCCGTGCCGTCGGCGAAGGCGAACGCCCCCGAGCCGGCGAGCGTGGTGGTGACGCCGTTGGAGGTGTCGATCTTGCGGATGCGGTTGTTGTCGGTATCCGCCACGTAGACGGTCATGCCGTCGGGCGACACCGCCACGCCGCGCGGGTAGCTGAAGCTCGCGGCGGTGCCCGTGCCGTCGGCGGAGCCGCCCGTCCCAGAGCCTGCGAGCGTGGTGGTGTCGCCGCCGGAGGTGTCGATCGTGCGGATGCGGTGGTTATCGTAATCCGCCACGTAGAGCGTCCCGCCGACGGGCGACACCGCCACGCCGACCGGGTAGTTGAAGCTCGCGGCGGTGCCCGTGCCGTCGGCGAAGGCGGGCGTCCCAGAGCCGGCGAGCGTGGTGGTGACGCCGTCGGAGGTGTCGATCTTGCGGATGCGGTGGTTGAGGTAATCCCCCACGTAGACGGTCATGCCGTCGGGCGACACCGCCACGCCGGCCGGGTAGTTGAAGCTCGCGGCGGTGCCCGTGCCGTCGGCGAAGGTGCCCGTCCCAGAGCCTGCGAGCGTGGTGGTGACGCCGCCGGAGGTGTCGATCTTGCGGATGCGGTGGTTGAAGGTATCCGCCACGTAGAGCGTCCTGCCGTCGGGCGACACCGCCACGCCGGACGGGAAATTGAAGCTCGCGGCGGTGCCCGTGCCGTCGGCGAAGGTGTCCGTCCCCGAGCCTGCGAGCGTGGTGGTGACGCCGCCGGAGGTGTCGATCTTGCGGATGCGGTGGTTGTTGGTATCCGCCACGTAGAGCGTCCCGCCGACGGACGACACCGCCACGCCGGACGGGGCTCGACCTCGCGCGTGCC